TCCGTGACTTTTCGCGGTCTGCTCTCGTCAGAATTCATTTATACCATGTCTCAAACAAGAACCCCTTACTTTTTCACCGTGAGCGCGAAGCTCTCCTTTGCCGTTCCGCCTTCAGCGGCCCCTGCCGTTGTGAGTGAGGATTCATGATACTCGTCCCCCATGGACCCACCACTTGCCGTCACGGATGAAGAATGACAAGAAGCTCAGATACGTATGAAATGGCAGAATTCAACGTAGAGGCACGCTATGTTCCACTATTCCGAAGCTGATTTGTGGTGGGTCTAAGTGGTGACGCTGTTTCTCTTCGGCTAATAATTGCTAATGGAGAGCATGTGGTAAGAGCAACTAGGAGAAAACGCAGCAACGTGAAACGCGCTGAAAGAGACGTAAATTTGAAGTGGTAATAAACGTTACTTGTGGAGTGTGGTGTCTAGAAGAAAAGGTTTAGTGTGCTAGATTTAAGATTTTCAGATTTGGTTGGTGTACAGTCGTTGACTCTTTTCAATAGTTTCAACAGGTAGGGTTCAATATCTCAGCCAAAGGTTCTGCGACGTTTGCGAACGATACGAACGCTTGCGGAGCTGTTTCGGAACGACGTTGCCTCTGGTAACCACATCGCGAGAGCACAGTGCAACACAGTGCAAAAAGACCGTAATCAGGGCGCGTGCGATCTATTTTCAAGTTACGAAAATAAGTGGAAGTTTGTGTGGTTACCAGCTTCGCCATTGTCGTCAAGACGCTTTAGCGAAGGCACGAGAATTTTGGGGGCACATAAGTGCGAATGTCATATGTGAACTCAACTCGAATCACACGGGTGAACGTGCGGGTGCACGTGAGGCGAGTGTGTGTTGTTTCAGCACGTACGAAGGCCATCTGAAAATCACGAATGCTTTGCGAAGATCGCGGAGTTTGTCGCACACTAAGTTGACGTGTCGTGCTGTACCAGGTAACCCATACCCCCTACGGGCGGCTCGCCGCCTTCCCTAAAAGGTCGAATCTCTGTGTTCGACCTTGGGTGTGTGATTGTGACTCGTCTGTGTTGGAGACCCAAGATTCGAACTTCGCTGCAAGGAAAGTCGAGTTTTGTTCAAATGCTACATTCGATCTAAAAACATCAACTTTCACAGATTTGTAAGACCACACGCGCCCTTACCCAAACCCAATTCCCACCGACCGACCTTCTGACATCCAAACATCCGTCAGTTTTGAAAGCCCGCGCAAATGAGCGGTCAAGATTGCACCGTCCTTCAGTGGCTTCGAGAAGCCTCACAGGTTGGCGCCAGTCAGGTCGGGTCCACCTGTTTCGCCAGTCGACCTGAAAGGAATTTGATCCTCTGAGAGAGGATGAAAATGAAAGTGCAGCAGTGCTACTTGATTTCTCAGTTTGAATCTGAGTCTGAGAAACCTTTCAGGAAGTAGCAAGTATGGCGTCACGTCTGCTATCTGGCGTCGCCCTGCTAATTTTTTACGCGCTTTGCGGTGAGTTCCACCTTGTTCTATGTGCTGTCTGGTTTTCTTTCTTCTCTCCTTTTTTTCCCTCTTTTTTTAGGCCAGTCACCACCATCACGGGTTGTTTTGTGCAGTGGCGGCGAAGACTGAGAAGGATGTCACCCAGCTTCAGATCGGCGTCAAGGTAAACCAAAGGCTCTTTACCGGCACATGTTACGCACATTATATCGCATATCCCTAATCACGTGCAACTTTCACCGTTCGCAGCCTGCACTACTTGATTGCACTACTTAATCATGTTTCACCATTGATCCGTGGGGTGTTTCCTGGTGGGTGATGGCAGTTCAAGCCCAAGGACTGTCCGCGCAAGGCTAAGAACCTCGATACTGTCAAGGTTCACTACAAGGTGAGCGTCTGTTTCGTCCACGCAGAAATCTAGGGCCGTGCATTGCGGGTCGCACATCAACTCACACGGTTCCGTCGCGTTTCTTTGAACAGCCAATTAAGAGTAGAAAGCAAGGATTGGGAAGGAACGTAGTGAGATATTACTGGCGATAATTCAGTGGTGCCGATTGTACGGCGAATCAGGTCGTCGTCGAATACCTGTTGCAGCGATACCTACTGTTTTCGGACTTCAACTGACGAAGAGGTCTGGTAGGACTAAACGACTGACACCTGAAGCTCGACTAGACGGACTGACACTTATAACATAATTAAGGGGCTGACGCTTGAAGCACGGTCAGGCAAACTGACGCTTACAGCACGACAAGACGGATTGACGTGGCTTGGACCTTGGTAGAACGGGTGATGACGGAAGCGAATTTCGGTCCTCCAATGCGATTCGTGTCCTGTGGCGGAGTAAGTCAGAGTCGCGCCTGTTGCGTCAGACTCGTTCGTTGATCCTAGTAGTACGTGGTCCACTTTCGTTTTTTTCCAGAAATCCCTAAAAACAAGTCTTCGCGGATCAAGTCAGACATTGCTCTCCAGCAGTCGGCGAAGCATAGAAAAAGCACGGTTATCGTTAGCACGCAACGCTTGCGATGGGTGGAGAGCATAGAGCAGTGCAGTCTTGTATACCCTCCAAGTAACCGTTGCGTTGTATTCGCAGTTGCCTTTCCGAATGCACACGGAAGAACTTCCAGATAGTCTACATGTCGATCTGTCCTAACTCTGACGTGTCCTAATCCTGACGTGTCCTGACGTGTCGAACCCTGTCGCTCACGTTGCGCGTGCAGGGCATGCTCACGGATGGCACTAAATTCGACTCCAGCTACGACCGCAACGACCCCTTCGAGTTCCGCCTTGGCATGGGCAACGTGATCAAAGGTGAGAGACAGAAGTGCGATCGCTGGCTGTCAAGCAATGCGATAACTAGGTAAGTTCACGAAAGTCGGTCGAGCTTGAGGCGGTCTTAACTCCTACAAAAAGCCTTGTAGTGAAAGAAAACCAAACAAGGCGATACCTTTGGAGGCAAGTTGCGCCGGTTTCGTTACACCCTTGTCTGGAAGTATGGTTGCGTTCCTTATTCATGTCCAACCGCTATGGCACGAACATTCCTCTGAACGTCCCCCTGACCGTCCCTCTCTCACGTGACAGGGTGGGACATTGGCATCCTCGGCATGTGCATTGGCGAGAAGCGCAAGCTCAAAATCCCGCCCCACATGGGCTATGGCGAGAACGGCTCTCCTCCTAAGATTCCAGGTGAGTGCTTAAGTCATTCGTGTTTGCCCCGGTTTATCTATACAGGATGTTTGATTTTTGGTGTTTCCACTCGTTGGGTGCAATCTTTTGACGCATACACCAGACAATCGAACTATTGAGAGAGTTAATAAAGACTGGGCATTTCAAAGCTATCACGGCTTCTCTTGCTTGCATCCCTCTACCCTCCATCCTCCTTCCCCCTGTTCCCCCAAACCCTTCTTTCCCTGCAATTTGACTTGCACCATACTCCTCCATCACTCTAAACTGCTGCGAGGTGGCGCAACACTTGAAATGGAGCTGGTTTATGTCATGCATGTGGCGGAGGAGGAGCTGGGCGTCAACCACTCACCTCTCTTCCCCTCCCTCCCCCAACTCCCGCCCTTCCCTCCCTCCCTCCCTCCCTCCCTCCCTCCCTCCCTCCCTCCCTCCCTCCCTCCCTCCCTCCCTCCCTCCCTCCCTCCCTCCCTCCCTCCCTCCCTCCCTCCGTCCCTCCCTCCGTCCCTCCCTCCCTCCCTCCCTCTCTCCTTCCCTCCCTACCTCCCTTCCTCCTTCCTTCCCTCCTTTTCCTCCCTCCTCCGTGCCTGCAGGTGGAGCGACACTCATCTTTGAGACGGAGCTGGTGGACATAGTGGATGTGCCGGACGAGGAGGAGCCGGAGGATGAGGACTTCAATGATGAGGACATTGACGACACGGACCCCCAGGGGGAGGAGGATGATGATGACGAGGACTTCGATGAAGATGATGAGTTTTACAAGAGAGATGATGATCGCGAGTTGTGAGAAGTGTAATTTTAGGTGAATTTCAAAGTTCTTTTGAGGAGTTTACGGAGATACCGTAGTGCTCTGGAATCGGATTGTGCTGCTTCTTACAGGCTGGTAAACTGATTCAACTAGTAGAGCGGAGCTATTGCTGCATTACGAATGTAAGGCATTGTTCCATGGCAGAATAATCATTTTCCGGGATATGAGCAGAATTTCAATATCAGACAGGCATGGCACACTGATCTGCCAAGCAAGGTGCATCAAACTAGAAGTACCCTAGTGTGTGAGGATGCTCAAGCAACACTTGCCAGTGAGGTGAGGGGGAGCAAAATTCATTTATTGGAGTGACCAGGCATTTGATTTGTATGCATGTGACAAATACGGTAAGTCATGAATAATGGTGAGCATTGAGCAGTCACATGTTATGCCAACACAAGGCCCAGGTTTCTGCTTTGATGGCAGATGCATGGGGACTCTTTAACACCTTCCGTCACTATGCCTGTCTCATTACTCTCAGACGCTTTCCACAACACCGGAATTTGCTTCTTCATTTCATGAATGTTTGCTATAACATAATCTGCTCCTGCTGATGATTGTGATGTTCCTACCTGCATGGAATGAAAACCATATGCAGGCAGACGTCAAGGAATCATTAAGCAGGGACGACGAGACATTCTTTAGTAGGGTGACAGCACCAGTCAAGGAAGCATCAGGGGAGCGAAGATGAGAATGGGTACGGTAGTAGTACTAAAATGCACTGGCAAAAAGGGTTCAAGCTTGTGAGAAGGGTTCAGCCCAGCAGGACATACCAGAACTGTATGCATGCCAAATCTCTTGGCCGCTGAGATGTTGCGGGTGCTGTCATCAAAGAATATCTGCAGCACAAGACACGGAATAGTTATATGGGATCAGTCAGGACAGTTAAGAGTGCAATGGGTCGTTTGGAAAGCAACATGTCTTGTTAGGTGGTGCCACACAGTATTGGCATCGCCATAAACACAGCCAGACAGCCAAGGTAGATTCTGAAACTTACCTTTCTTTTGGGCTTACTTCGCTGCGACCAAAAGAAAGGAAGATTTTGCCAGTGCTAATGGTCAGATGTCAGTGGCGAAGCGAGCAAGGCACAAGAACCAGCGTACTCACGAATGAGTTCCGAGTCAGCATCAGCCGCATAGTGAAGGCGCAAGAGGGATTTCACACAAGCAGCACGCCGTGCAGAGAGCGGGAATTCAGAGAGGATGGGAGCAGCGGGGACATACCGATGAGTGCGGGTCAGCGCGTGCGATGCCAACCACTGCGCGGTGAAACGCCTCAGCCTGGGGCTTGCAGCAGATGAGTGGTCCGGCCGGACTCATCCACGACTGCGCCACTGCAGATGCTGCAGCAGCTGCTGCTGCTGGTGTTGGTTGTGGTGGCGCTGCTGCTGCTGCTGCTGCTGGAGAAGCTGCTGCTAGCCTGGCGGCGTCACGATGAGTGAGTGCAGTAAGAGGGTGTGCAGAGGCATGCTCCACCAGTGCATCTGCACTGACGCAGCGGCGACTGTTGCAGCGGAAAGGTAGCACCTGGGGGAGGTTCACCTGTTTTGATTCCTGCTGCTCTAAACCCCGCTGCTGCTGCTGCTGCTGCTGCTGCTCACTTGGTCCTTCTTGCTGATCCTGGATACTGATTGGTAGCAATCGCTCTGGAGAGCTGCTGCCACTGCTGCCATTACTGCAATCGCTCGACAAGTTAGCCGAGGGCAGGGAGGCAGTGGAGGAGGCAGAGGGAATGGGAGGCAGGGAGGACGGCAGCAGACCATGGTCGGAGTCCAGAAGATAGTCAGAACCGTCAGATCCATCCGAGCCATTAGGGAAGTCAGGACCGTGAGTGGTGTCAGAGGTGCACGAGGGGCGGAAGTTGTTTCGGAGGTTGAAGTTCTGGGAGGGTTGCTGTGCCATGACTTCTTCAAATGAAATCACAGCATCAAAGCAGCCCTCCAGGCCCAGCAGACGCAGGCAGTGGCTAGCGTGCATGCGATCAGCGTTGGTGAACACCTGTGAGTGGGGATATGGGCGGACGGAGGTGGAAGGGTGGAGGAGGGGAGTTGCGGAAAAAAGAATGGGTGAAAGGACGTGATAGCGAATGGGCTGGGACAGCCCTCCACACTGAGCAGAGGCATGTGGTGAGCAGCGGCATGTGGTGAGCAGCGGCATGTGGTGAGCAGCGGCATGTGGTGAGCAGCGGCACGTGGTGAGCAGCGGCACGTGGTGAGCAGCGGCATGTGGTGAGCAGCGGCATGTGGTGAGCAGCGGCATGTGGTGAGCAGCGGCATGTGGTGAGCAAGTGCACGTGCTATAAAGCTGCTTATTCAGGATACCAATACAGATAGGCATGGTGAGTGGCGTGCAGCCACTGCATTCACTGATGTAAGAGGGCAATCAGAGACCGGAGTCCATGCCATTGCTCCTGCAAGCCCACCGTGAACTACGCATGCTTCGTCTGATCCGATGCTGGTAAACTGAGGGACTTACGAATTTGCGTTGAGGAAGCGAATCAAGGAGGTGCCTCAAGGCGGGGTCTGGCTTCAGCAGGTGGTATGGCAGTCGGCCGTGGACGAACCTGCAGGGATGAGGAAGGCGGGGTGACGAGGAAGACGGGGTGACGAGGAAGACGGGGTGACGAGGAAGACGGGGTGACGAGGAAGACGGGGTGACGAGGAAGACGGGGTGACGAGGAAGACGGGGTGACGAGGAAGACGGGGTGACGAGGAAGACGGGGTGACGAGGAAGACGGGGTGACGAGGAAGACGGGGTGACGAGGAAGACGGGGTGACGAGGAAGACGGGGTGACGAGGAAGACGGGGTGACGAGGAAGACGGGGTGACGAGGAAGACGGGGTGACGAGGAGTACGGTGACGAGGAAGACGGGTGACGAGGAAGGCGGGGTGACGAGGAAGACGGGGGTGGACGAGGAAGGCGGGGTGACGAGGAAGACGGGGAGATGAGGAAGGCGGGGAGATGAGGACGTGGGAGGGGATGAGGACGGGGGGGGAGATGAGGACGGGGGGGAGATGAGGACGGGGGGGGAGATGAGGGACGGGGGGGGAGATGAGGACGGGGGGGAGATGAGGACGGGGGGGAGATGAAGACGGGGGGGGAGATGAGGACGGGGGGGGAGATGAGGACGGGGGGGGAGATGAGGACGGGGGGGGAGATGAGGACGGGGGGGGAGATGAGGACGGGGGGGGGGAGATGAGGACGGGGGGGGAGATGAGGACGGGGGGGGGAGATGAGGACGGGGGGGGAGATGAGGACCGGGGGGGGAGATGAGGACGGGGGGGGAGATGAGGACGGGGGGGAGATGAGGAACGCGAATGAGGAAGGCGATGGTGCAAACTCACAGTCGCAAACGCATAAGGACCGCATGAGAATGGGAGGTGGAATGAGTTTAGACACGAAACAGAGCGCAAACACGAGCTCCTGATTGCAGATGGAAGAAAAGGGAACCAAAAGGCTCCTGGATGGATATGGCATCTTGAACGAATGTGACCTGCAGTAACTTGGTGGTACTAGTGCTTCTAGAAGCAAAGGAGGTTTGAACTCACGCGTGCCAGTCATCAAAGTCGAAGGCGTAACCTTCTGCCTGCAACACAAATTTCAAACGAGAATGTCAGCTCGGCACAGTCCATTGCAGCCCACGTGGATAGCATACTGATTCAGACCATCAGTGCTTATTGATTAGTGGTCAAAATCAGCTGGAGTCACCTATTGCAAGGGTATCGCACCATCTAAACGTGCAATCGCCTGTAACACCATGGTGACAGCGTCACATCATATGTCTATGTTCCCTCAACGTATAAATATTTGGCACAACAATATCCCTCCATCTTTGTTACTGAAGCATTACTTCAAGAATACGTAACTTGCTGCTTGCCACACTGCTGACACAGCCTACCTCTGAGCAGCCCCCACTAACAGCTGTGTGCCTAAGCGCATGTGCCAGACTTTGGACTAATACTTGCTGGCGACAGATCTTACGCCCATCGATCCTGCGACCTATAAAAGTTGGGACTTACCCGGAGACCAGCCATGGAGGTGCCATGCTCCTTATACAGCCTGATGGCCTCCTCGCCTGCGGTGTCTGCTGCGAAACCCAGGCGTTGAACCATGTAATCTGAGACGGGAAGAAAGGCGGAATAGAGAGAGGGGGCGGAGAGGGAATGCTGGCGAATCAATGTGATAACCAAATGGCTTCACTAGCTTTCGAAGATGAGCCAGGACCCAAAACAATGCGCAAGAGGATATCTGCTTCGGATACTTGCAGGATGTGGATTTGGTATATCGGGCAAAATGACAAATTCGTAAGCTGGGAGCGATTTCGTCAATAATCATACCTTCGATGTTCTTCACACACGCTGGGCCGAGACCAGCGCTACTGGGATACAGAGTGTCATCCAAATCTGCAGCACAGATTGAAAACACGTCGATTCACACGTTGGCAATGCACAATCGCCAACACTTGTAACATGAACGAACTCCTTGAAGGAGTTGTTGCCCGACGATGGGGCCACAATGGTTGGGTGGTACGGGAATTACTACAAGAATGCGATGCTTCATCGAGAAGCAGGTTTATTAGTAAGTATCCCTACGCAGATGCTGAACGGCTACGGCTTACCGAAGAAACAAGTTGTGATAGACGCGGAAAATTCGCGGGTTGGTTCCGACTGAGTAACCACAGTCGCTTCAGAGTCTTCTTCTAGTGTGAACAGTGGCGAGATGACACCATTCCTGCAGTAATATGGAAGTCAAACATGAAAGCTGGTCAGAGAAATCCGTAACAGTGGCGAGATGACACCATTCATGTTTCTGAACTGAATCAACGCAAAAGCGGAACAACGATTTCAACTACATTCAGCCTAACGACGTGTCATATGAATATGCATCCGTAACTATTCACTATTGTTCAAGCGGGTTACGCTAAGGCGTGCCAGGCAGCGTCTTCACAGGCAAACAGAAACAACATGGAGGAGGACGTACCCTGTTGTTGGCGCCATTGTGATGCAGCTCCTGGAAACTAAGGCTAGAGCCAGCCACTACAACGATAACTACCGGGAACTAAACGAAAAAACACGGTGGAAGGCGAGTTTGACGCAAGCTGTGTGTGCGAGCAATACAAGGCCTGGACGAGCGCTAGAGCAGGAAGGATTACAGTATGTGGGAAAAAGGTATTTGTGATGAAATGGTGGATTATGTACTTGGCATGGATACAGCAGACCCAAAACAGTTTGCGGCAATTTCGAGACTACGAGGTGGGTTAAGGTTAAGGTTATATAAAGGTCGTAACCATGTACAGCAAAGCATAGAGCAGCTAGAGATATGGTCTACACAAACCAAGCGCCCAAAGGCGTACGTAGGAAACACGTTTCGAGACTACGAGGTGGGTGGGTCTGCTTCTGGGATGTGTTCTGTTCTGCTGGACAGAAGGTGTTGTGTTGTGCCGAGGCCCGTATTTGGTTGTCACTCATTGATTTCCACTAGGTTGATATGGAATCTAAAGGGATTGGACGGTGTACAAGAACAGTTTCATGAGGCATGGGATGGTTGGGTTCGAGATGGTGATTTGGGAAAATATCGAGGGCGGAAAAACCTCTGGCGGGAATTTCCGAGGCTGGTGGGCTGCGATATGGCGACGCGATAAGCTGTGGCTCTGTGTGGGGTGGAAATCTTCTAGAGCGATTACTTGTCCGACGTGGCGAGGGTCGGCCGACCACACAGATACACTCACGGGGCTGACTCTCAGGGACCTTCAGGGTTTCCTCTTGTGGTGGCGCTTCTTCCTGACCTCATAGCCAGCGTTGGTGGCGTCAGCGTTGACGCGCACAGAGGAACTGGCTTGAAAGGAAACACCACCAACCGCCACCGAATTGTGAGAAATGGGTGAATTACACCAGTAGAGCACAAAACACTTTAAACCTAATGTACAGATATATCAATAATCGTGGGGCCTTTCTGCGTAGCGTTATACCGCGGATAATGAGCATGAAACGTGGAGTCATCTTGACAGCACAATCCATGGCCCCTGGCACGACCACGTGTTCGTTATCTCGAGCTGAGCACTCCATAAAATGACTCGCTCACTGGAAAGAGGGCGCCGAAACGCGCACCTTCTGATGCAGACAATCTTGCGATGAGGCGAGTTTAATTGCGATCATTTTGCAGCTCCAAGCTACCGGCGCGCGTACGGGAACCTATAGAACTGTGCTTGCAGCACTGCCAGCCATGGCCTGTAGAATCGTATCATTCGCGGCATCTCGTGTTTCCACTGGGAGTTCCGTTAATCAGCTCCTTCAAGTTGGTTCATCGGCGTCCACCGTCTCCTTTGGCCGAGTCGCTCGCGTGCCGTTACTAACTCCCGAAATAGCCGCCGGCGTTGGTACTATCTCGTCGGTATCTTCCATTTTTTCGCGGTCCGCCGCTTCAGGAGACTCCGTTACTTGGAGCCCAGTTGATGCGACGAGAGTACCCAGGCTGCGTGGTGTTCGATGTCGATCGCTTGCGACGGTTCGCGACGGCAGTGCGACAGCTAGGGAGGTGTCGCTCGTGCAAGGGGCGTCGCGAGGCATCGGGCTGGAGCTGGTCCGTGCCTCCGATCCCTCTCTGCCTGTTTTCCTGCTGCGTTCCTCTCTGCTGGTTTCCGGTTTGCTGATTTTCTCTCTGCTGGATTTGTCATGCTGCTTCTTTATTTTCTACACTTTTGTGGTACAATGTAACTTTTTTCCCTCCTCCTCTCTCCCCCTTCCTCTTTCCCCCTCCTCCCCCATCCTCCTCTCCCCCCCCCTCCCCCCCCCCGCCCCCCCATCATCCCTCCCCCACACCTCCACCCAAAATTGTGAAGGGCGTGTATCTTCTTGGTATATTCCTTGCATGACCAGCATTGAAACCTTTGACAACCAAAGGGTCATATCGTTTTGAACAGCTGAGAGAGTTCGCCTTTCCCTCAGATTGCCAGGCTGGGAGGAAATTCCCTAAGGGGCAGTTCGGTCGAAGCACAAGAGGCTCCTCTGACATGGACGATGGTGGCTCATTTATGATTCATCGACCTTTGACCGCTGATTGGCAGGTTCGGCAGCTGCTCCAGAGGAACCCTGACAGCCACGTCATCGCCACGTGTCGCAATCCTGCAGCAGCAGCGGCGCTACAGGAGCTCCAGAGTAGCAGCGGGGATCGGATGACCGTTCTTCCCCTGGACGTTACTGATGAGGCAACCATCGAGGTGGGTGATGGACGAGGCGTGTATCGAGGTGCGTGGGATGCGAGGTGCAGTTTAGAGCCGACTCAAAAGTCAAGTGAGGATCGGCTGACCGTTCTCTCCCTGGATGAGGCCTCTATCGAGGTGGGTGATGGAGAGGCGTGTGTTGAGTTGGTGAGAGGTGAGGCGTGTGTTGGGGTGGGTTAGAGACGCGGTGTCTCTAGGGAAGGGTGAGAGACGAGGCGTCTTTAGGGGGGATTGACGCGGTGCAAGAGTTGTTTCTCTCGGGCTACACTACACTTACACCGCTGTTGTATCGCGGTCTAATCCAAATATGGAATTCCAATGTATATAATTGGCATGGCGGGTACATGGCACGGTGCATGGTGTATGGTGTTCATGTCTCGTAAAAGCCATGATGGCATGCACGCTTGCATGGGATGGCGTGCATGGGATGGGATGGCGTGCATGGGGATGGCATGCATGGGATGGCGTGCATGGGATGGCATGCATGGGATGCGTGTTTTCATGGGATGGGATGGCATGCATGGGATGGCTTGCATGGGATGGCATGCATGGGATGGCATGCATGGGATGGCATGCATGGGAGGGCATGCATGGGATAGCGTGCATGGGATGGCATGCATGGGATGGCATGCATGGGATGGCGTGCATGGGATGGCATGCATGGGATGGCATGCATGGGATGGGATGCATGGGATGGCATGCATGGGATGGCATGCATGGGATGGCATGCATGGGATGCGCGTTTGCATGGGATGGCGCAGGGGCGTCACAACAGGAAGCTGCACGGCATGTGTCAGCCACTTGGGGGCACCTCAACCTCCTCATCAACGCATCAGGCCTCCTCCACATGCCGGGCGCCATGAGACCAGGTGCCTGCGGTGAGGTACATCTTGCATTGCACTGCACATGTGAAGCTGTCTTGTGTTGCTTGCTGCAATGAGCTTCTGCATGCATGGGCTGTGTATGGTACTACTGGGAGCTGTGTGTGGTGCGAGTGGGCTGTGTGTGGTTCGTGTGCTGACAAGCTGTGCCCTCTCTTCACCCTGATTGTCATTTTTCCGCAACTTCTCACTTTCCATCCATTTCTTCCTACTCGCTGATTCTTCCCATTCTCTAATTCTTCCCACTCGCTTATAATTTCCACTGCGTCCCTCTCTTCGAGCTATCGTGCCACAGCTCTGCCCAAGCGTCCCACTGTGCCCTTGGTTGATTGAAGGGCCATGCACGCTTTCAACCCTTCCCCTATGCACCCGTTGTCCCCAATCCGCCCACCCTCTCCGCTTCCATGTGCATGCAGAGACATCTATGAAAGCACTCACGCCACAGGCCTTGCTCACCAGCTTCCAGGTCAACGCAATGGGACCGGCGCTGGTCATCAAGGTGTGTGTGAGAGCATTTAGAGTAACCAGCTACGGGGCGAGCACTGGTAATTATGGTGCGCATTGCATCGTGAATAACATAGGATAGGTAGGCCCTGTGCCTGCAATTCAAATTCAAAAGCCGTAAGAGTACTAAAGTCTTGAACAAGCTACTCCCCAGTTTGCATGCCATGAGAGTTTAATCGACATACAATAAATTGTCTGTACGGAGGAGTATTTTTGCGAGGAATGTTCTTACAATGAAGCGGGCGGGACTGATCGTGAAGGTGCTTATGGGGTGGTTTTGAAATACTCTACGCCTTGTGGTTTGGGCAATTCACTAAATGACTTTTGAGTCGACTCAAAAAGGCATCTCACGCCATGTGGTGTGGGTACTTTACTGAATGGTTGGGCGGCCGAGTCCAGAAAGTCAGCTCTGGTCCGGTAGAGCATGGTTTGGTTGTATTAAAGTAAAGTGTGTGTCTGAAGGGAAAGGGGAGCGGAACGATAGAAGGAGAGAGTGGGAGATGAATCAGGAGAGGATACATGGTACGGGAGATAGGGGTACACCGTACATGCAGCTTGGTACGGGAGATAGGGGTACACCGTACATGCAGCTTGGTACGGGAGATAGGGGTACACCGTACATGCAGCTTGGTACGGGAGATGGGGGTACACCGTACAGGTAGCACGTTCGTCTATCCGGTGTTTTCCTGTCCCTTTCTTTCCCCCCATTTGTTCTCTTACCACTGTCATTGGCCTTTGTTGTCACCTCAGCATCCGTCCATGCACATCTTCCCCGAACCTTCTCCCATGGCCACCCTTTGTCCCCATTCTCTCCACTGTCTCCCTGCTCTGCTGATTGCACCAGACGATGGCACAGCTGCTTGTCTAGGCGCCTAAGATCCCCTTTTCATTCTCCCCCTGCGCTGCTAATTGCACAGAAGATGGCGCCGTTGCTTGTCTAGGCGCCGCATATCCCCTTTTCACTCTGCTCCTACTGTGCTGTATGAGAATGAGAATCACACTTGAGAATTCTCGAAAGTGATTTTCATTGTAGCTGATTGCACAGAAGATGGCGCGGTTGCTTGTGTAGTCCCCTCATCATTAACCCCTCATCATAACCCCTCATCATAACCCCTCTTCACTCATCATAACCCCTCTTCACTCTGTCCCTACTGTGCAACGGCACAGAACATGGCGCCATTGCTGGCAGGGGAGGAGGCGCAGCGGCAGGGAGGGAGGTGGCAGTGGCAGCGAGCATGAGCGCACGGGTGTCCTCGATAGGCGATAAACGGCTGGGTGGGTGGCATTCCTACCGCGCTTCAAAGACTGCTCTCAACCAGCGTGAGTTGTCCAGGTGTGGGGTTGGCAGTGGCAGCGAGCATGAGCACACGGGTGTCCTCGATAGGTGACAACAGGCTGGTGGGGTTGGCACTTGTACCGCGCGTCAAAGACTGCACTGAAACCAGCGTGAGTTGTCTGGGCGCGGTATGGGTCGACTCATGGCACACCACTGGCAGGCACGCACGTGGCAGTGGCAGCGAGCATCACTGCCCGGGTTTCCTCGATTGGCGATAGGGGGGAGTAGTGGCATCAAAGACGGCACTGAACCAGCGTGAGTTCTCTGGGTGTCTATTCCGAGATAACTTGAGGTACGGCAGCTGGGAACGAGGTGGCCGTGGCAGCGAGTTAGTACGAGCGTGCTGGTCTCCCCGATAGGCTCGATGGGCGACACAACATGCTGGCCGGGTGGCACTTGCACCGCGCCTCACAGGCTGCCTTTTGAGGCGCCTCAACACTCGTCACTTGCACCGCACCTCACAGGCTGCCTTATGAGGCGCCTCAACACTCGGCACTTGCACCGCGCCTCACAGGCTGCCTTTTGAGGCGCCTCAACACTCGTCACTTGCACCGCACCTCACAGGCTGCCTTTTGAGGCGCCTCAACACTCGGCACTTGCACCGCGCCTCACAGGCTGCCTTTTGAGGCGCCTCAACACTCGTCACTTGCACCGCGCCTCACAGGCTGCCTTGAAAAGTGTAAGTTGCTGCACATTTGTCCAGGTGTGTTCTTCTCAGTCGACTGGGAGGCAGGGAGGGAGGTGGCAGCGGCACGTGTCCTCGATGGGCAATAACTGACTAGGGGGCTGGCACTTGTACCGCGCATTGAAGTCTGCACTGAATAAGTGTGGGTGTCCCGGTGTATTCAGAGTCAACTCATGATGCAACAGCAGAGTGGTGGGGGCACTCTCACCACGCATCAAGGGCAGCCATGGAGCCTTCCCCCTTGGCACTATGTCTATCTGTGTTGTTTGATCATACTTTGCTGTCTCAATAATAACCGACCTTGCTCTCCCCTCTTTCTCTCCAACCCTCGCACGTCCTCCTCCTAGTACCGCCATGGCCCATCTCACCCCACCCCTCTGCACACATAAGCATCCCTTCTCATTCCCACACACGCCCCCGTTCCTTAAACCCTTTCAACCACATCGCTCGCTCCTCCCCTCCCCCCGCTCCTTCTCCAACCCCCCAGGGGTCTGTACAATGCTCATCGAGTTTTTGGCTTTCTCTTCATACTCTCTCACTTCTTGGTTTCTCCTTTACACTCTCTCACTTCTTCCGTAAGCCTTCCCCCCAGTGGTCCGTACTATGTCTATCAAGTTGGCAGCAAAGAAGCAGCCAGTTGCCACCATCCTCCTCCAGCTCCCTTCTCCCCTCTCCACCCCCCTTCTCCCCTCTCCACCGCCCCTCTTCTCCCCCTCTCCACCCCCCCTTCTCCCCTCTCCACCCCTCTTCTCCCTCTCCACCGCCCTTCTCCCCTCTCCACCCCCCCTTCTCCCCTCTCCACCGCCCTTCTCCCCTCTCCACCCCCCCTTTACCCCTCTCCACCACCCTTCTCCCCTCTCCACCCCCCTTCTCCCCTCTCCACCCCCCTTCTCCCCTCTCCACCCCCCTTCCTCCCCTCTCCCCTCTCCTCTCCCCCAGTGGTCCGCACTATGTCTATCGAGTTGGCAGCAAAGAAGCAGCAGTTGCCACCATCCTCCTCCAGCCCCCTTCCTCCCCTCTCCACCTCCCCTCTCCCCCTCTCCACCTTACCCACCCTCTCCTCTCCCCTCCCCCAGTGGTTCGCACAATGTCGACTAGAATTGGCAGCAAAGAAACAAGCCAGTTTCTGCCATCCTTCTCCACCCAGGAACAGTGGACACAGATATGTCCAAGCCCTTCCAGAGGGCTGTGCCGCCCGGAAAGCTCTTCACGCGAGAGTTTGCCGCCCAGAAGCTGCTGGGGATCATAGACAGGGTCAGTGCAGGCGATAATGGAAAGTTTTTTGCATGGGATGGGCAGGAAATTTCTTGGTAGAGTTTCGAACTACGATTTCGTTTCTGCCATATCAGATCGCATAAGATTCCACAACTAGAGCCCCGTGTTGCAGCAAGCGACTCTACTATGTCAATATAAACAAGTGTTTGTAGGTAGTGTGGGGTTGCCTTGCTAGTATGGTAATCTCTCAAGTCTAAATACTGGTAACCACTAATGTGAGTGCACTACTGGCCATATCAGGAGACGTGTCTATGAAGAGCTCGAAACGAAGTCACTCACAGTCGTACCGGCTTGGTACCTGGTGGTCAATATGGCCAATGTTCGGGGTAAGCCTGGAGGCGCCATCAGTGCAGAAAGAATTGTTCGCAGACAATGATCTGAGTCGATGACCAAGAAGCAGTAGCGTCACACCACGCACGTGATGGTTTGTGTGGCAAATGTTGGGGGTTGTGCAGGAGCAATCAATGCAGAAAGATTTTCTCGCAAGAGGAGAGGCCAGCAATTAAGTTTAATTAGGATGGGTATGCGAGTGTGAAATATCAACACCATCTAGATACCTTCAACCACCGTAACGCAAGTACGGTACTGTGATATATAAGTTTAACCAAAGCCAACTTATCACAAAGCTTCTCATAGCAAAGCCTAGCGCTTGCAATCACATTGTACTATATCCGACTCACCTCACCCCATGGGCACCAGGCATACGCATGGCACATGGGTCATCCGGTCTAAGGAATGCTGTGCAGACCATCCAGCACCCTGCCCTGCTCATTGTTGTCATCTGTAACTCTGCTGATGTCATCTGGCACCTATACTGATGTCACCTCGTACTAGATGCAAGGCCATCCAAGCATAAACTGGCAAAGGGATTAGGATTAGACTGCTCCATGACCACAGCTATTCTGCTCACATGGTTCTCGCACTGTCAGAGCTACTGCTGCTGCTGCTGATGCTCAAGATGCTGCTGTTGTGCGGGCCAATAGTGTCCACATGTCTCGTCTGATCAATCCTGCTGCTGTTGTTATGATGCCGTTGTTACCGCGTGCACTGGTTGCACAAACCAGGGCGGTCGCTGTTAGTGCAGCTACAGTGAATTGATGTCGAAGTAAGGGCAAGCACGGCTACTGTTAATGCAAGCGCTGCTGCTGTTGTCGATACTGCTAATAGGGGGTACAGAAAACAGAAGACACTGTTCTATGTTGAGTCCTTCTGTATAGTCTCGGGTGCCAGTGTTGCAGCCATTGCTAATGCTGTCAAGCACGCTAACAGAGGCTACAGACAACAGGCCGCACCTGTTTCTGTGTTGAGCCCTACTGTATACTCTCGGCTGCCAATGATGCAGCCATGGTCCGCGGTAAAAACTGTTCCCTTAGCAGAATGAGTTGTAATGTCAGGAATGAGAGGGATACAGTTACGTCTGCAACTTCTGGAGTGAGAGGAGTCATATCAGTATATTGAGTTGTCTCATCAGTAATAGGAGTCAAATCAGAAAAATGAGTTGTAGCACCAGTAGTAGGAAGTCACATCAGTGAAATGAGGAGTCACATCAGTAAAATGAGCTGTAATGTCAGGAGTAGGAGTCATATCAGTAAACTGAGTTGTGATGTCTAGAGTAGTGAGTCACATCAGTAAAAAAGGTTGCGATGTCCGCTGTGTGAATGCTTACACCTGCGCTCATCTGTGGTGGTAGCTGCTCGGTACAAAATAGAGATGTGGAGGCCTGCTGCTGTAACTGCTGCTGGAAGTACTGCTGTTGGTTTTGCTGTTGGTGCTGCTGCTTTAGCTGGTGCTGTTGATGGTGGTTGTGCTGTTGATGCTGCAGCAGTTGATGGTAGTGGTGCTGTTGGTGCTGCTGCTGTTGTTGCTGGTGCTGTTGCTGCGGCTGTTGCTGTTGGTGTTCCTGCTGTTGCTGATGCTGTTGGTGTTCCTGCTGTTGCTGCTGCTGTTGGTATTCCTGCTGTCGCTGCTGCTGTTGGTGTTCCTGCTGTTGCTGCTGCTGTTGGTGTTGCTGCTGCTGTTGGTGTTGCTGCTGGTGTTGTTGTTGTTGTTGCTGCTGCTGCTGCTGCTGCTGCTGCTGCTGCTGCTGCTGCTGCTGCTGCTGCTGCTGCTGCTGCTGCTGCTGCTGCTGCTGCTGCTGCTGCTGCTGCTGCTGCTGCTGCTGCTGCTGCTGTTGCTGCTGTTGCTGCTCCTGTTGGTTCTGCTGTTGTTGCTGTTGCAGTTGTTGTTGTTGTTGTTGTTGTTGTTGTTGTTGTTGTTGTTGTTGTTGTTGTTGTTGTTGTTGTTGTTGTTGTTGTTGTTGTTGTTGTTGTTGTTGCTGTTGTTGTTGTTGTTGTTGTTGTTGTTGTTGTTGTTGTTGTTGTTGTTGTTGTTGTTGTTGTTGTTGTTGTTGTTGTTGTTGTTTTGTTTGTGATGCTGTTTCTGTTGCTGCTGATAATGGTGATGTCTGGCGATTGCAAGGGAGGGAGAGGACGAAGAAAAGATGGGCGAGTAGTGGAGAAACGGGTGGGCGGAGGAGGGAGAGGAGTATGGAAGACAGGAGGATGGGGGTTATTATAGACAGCTGTAGCAGGAGCAGGAGGCACTGCAGCAGGAAAAAGAGGCACTGAAGCAGAAGCAGTAGCAGAAACAGGATTCACTGTAGCAGGAGCAGGAGCTGTATCGGGAGCGAGGGGCACTGTAGCAGAAGCAAGAGGCACCGTGGCAGGCACATTAAACGTAGCCGCGGGTGATTCAAGCAGTTGTAGCGGTGGCCTCAACTGGAAACATAGAGCTTGGCCTGCGGTTGCAGTGGTTACTTGTCCAAGTATCGTGGGAGAAGGTGAGGCAAAATAATGGGCTGGTTGCGGGAGATGTGTGGACAGGGAGGGCGGCGATGGAGTCTGGGTTGCTCTGAGAGCTGTCTGCTGCTCAGCTGCTGTCCTAATGGCAGGGAGGCTGCTAGTATCAAGAGCGGAGGCTGTGGCAGAGGTGAAGGCTGTAGCAGAAGTAGAATCTATAGCAGAGGTGAAAGTTGTTACAGGGGAAACGGCTGAGCCCGAAGCTAAGGTCGTGGCAGAAGAAAAGGTTGTAGCGGGAGTGAAGTTAGTCGCAGGGGGAACTGTCGCAGTAGAGGCAACGGTTATAGCGGCAGAAGTGGGGTCTGCTCGCGTGGGAAGGCAGCTGACGGCCGGATGCCCTGCAACATGCACCTTGGGAGCTGCTGGCGCGGGCGGCGGGTGATTGTGTGAACCAAAATATGCCACCCGCACCACCACACGCATCTCTGTCCTGTCCGAAGCCGTGTCGTTTTCTTCTGCCCGTCCTGCTACAGCCCCTCTACTTCTAGCAGCCACTTTGGTTGTACCTGCAGAGTTGCAAGCTGCTGTAGCACTGGCTGTAGCACTGGCTGCAGCCTTTGAGACAGCTGCAGCTTTCGAGATGGCGCCTTTTAGCCTGGGCGGCGAGGGTGATGAGCCTCGCCGGCCACTCGATCCTCAACTTTCTTTGCCGGGCAGGCCGTGACGTGCTTGGATGAGCAAACAAAGTAAAGCAAGCAAGAAGGAAGGAGAAACGAGGTGCAGATTACATCATTTGGGGACTGAGACAATGAACAGCCTGCATGCTCGATGAGAAGGGAAACAGTGACCAGAGTCAAAGAGTGCCGACCAGAGTCTAATGTTGCCAACCAGAGTCGTTTAGTGCCGACCATAGTCGACAAGTGCCGAACGACGGACCCAACCACGCAGACCAGAGCCGAGAGTGCCGACCACCGGAGACCAGTGCCAAGCAGAACCTAGCCGAGCCGAGCCGAGCTGAGCCTTCACACTCCCCCGTTTTGTCGTTTCTCCTTCACACTCTATCACCTCCCCTTTGTTGGGAATAACAATTCTTAAGCGCCTCTGTCATGTCGAAACTCCGGACACAAGCGAAGCAGCTCAAATTGGAGCGCAACGAGTCAACCCTCGGAGGTTAGGGTAACCGCTGGAGGTTACGCGAAGGTCAAAGGTCGCTGACCTTTGACTTGACAAATACAGCGCGACAGCAAGGACACACAACTGACTCGACATTGAGCAGTTGCCCGAGTCGCACTGTATCGAATCGCAAGAGCAAGAACAGTTTAATTATATCTATTTGTATTCCTTGTACTCATGTATAAGGCTTTGTATTTGCTTGTTTTATATCAACTTACTTTGCCCTCACATACCAGCGCAAGGTGGTTCAAGGACCTTTCATTCACGCTTCCGCTATTACAATCCTACTCAGACTTTAACTCTACAAAGATCCTAGGGCACTTCAGCCCAACATGGTATGAGAGCAGTTAGAGTTTAAAGGTTATTTTTTCCTTTAACACTCAATACAAGAAGACATGTCTACTAGGAAGGAGAGGAGCTCCTCCAACGGTTCTCCAGGCACTACTCCTACCCCACCTCCTGCCTCTGGTCTACAGATAGAGGAAGGGACTACCACAAGACCAGCAGCTGGGTCTACGGAAACACCCGCGGGCTTCGATCCAAGCATGATGGAGAAGTTCTTCTCCTTCATGTCCTTCTACGAGCAGCACCAGCAAGGAGTACTTGCGCAGTCAAACAACAGCAACAACACAACGTGACTCCTATGAGTCTCGACGGCTCATCCTACGCACGCGGAATTCAACAACAACAACAGCAGCCTACCTTCGCGCCGTACGAGCCCTAGCGTGGCTCCGTCAGCTTCATGCCGCAACCGCAATCTGCACCGGGACAAGAAGGGCATTGGACGCATTACAAGTTCAATCGCAATTCGCGCATGTTCTAAAGCTGCAAACGACAAAGCCTTTCGACGGAAAAGACTTCTTCACCTGTCGTTTCGAGTTCGAACTGATGATGGAAGGAGCACGGATTCTTGGCTTCTTCGACGGGTCCCTGCCATATCCAACAAACGGGATGCAATATGAGAAGCAGCAGTACACCTATCAATCAATGATGGCGTACACGATACTGCTAAGAAACATCACCCCGACCCACAGCAGAACATCAGGACTTACCGAGGCTACGGCAACTCCGCGGAGCTCGCGTACAACCACCTAAGAACCTGTATCAAGCAACAGACACGTAAATCAAAGCAGGTTAATGGCGTAGCTGACAACGATTGAAATGAAACCAGGCGAGAAAGGCATGGCTTATATCAGCCGCTGCCGCGAACTGCGCGACAAGCTTCTTCGATGCGGAGGGTCGATTTCAGAAGACGCCTTTGTCACGGTGGTCATCGGCGGTCTCGGCCCCCACTGGCGCTCCACTCGCGCCATATTACGAGCACACGGGGGATCTCCGAAGCGGCACTCTGCGCCGAAATTCATGCTGAGCAGCAGGACATGGACCTGCAAGAAGAAAGACACAAGAAGAAAACATTAGCAACGGAGTTTGCATTTCACACTCAGCGACGATACAACGGCAACAACATCGACAACAGCAACAAGTGAAGACGGTACCTCCGTTCTGCCACATCTGCAAGACTTCGGGCCATCCTCGCACGCACTGCCCGTCTCGTCAGACAACACCACAGCGACAACTCCGCCTTCAAGCTCCCAAGTCGCCTCGACGCAAGCAAATCCGACAATCCAGCTTCAACGACTTCAACTGACAATCTGCACAAGGAGCAAGAAATATTGTCAATTGCATGGTGAAGATACCGATTCCTGCACAACAGTCACCACCTCACTACTCACCGGAAGAAGAGCTCGACAACAGGACGCCTCGCCGCGAATCACTCCAGCCGAATCCGACGTACGCCGCCATCGCTCAAAGTGAACCGTCCGGGCAAGACACTTGGTTCTTGGACAGTTGCTGCGGACAACATATGTGCTCCTCAGGACGCTTCGTTCAACGCGAACATCGACTCCAGCGAGAAGTAGTCATCACGGTCGCAACAATCAGAACCTGCGCACCGATGACAAGGAGTGGTACAGCTTCAGTCACAGAGACAAATGTCATATTACACATGTCAAAGTACTTATCGCGGAGGACTCGGCTATACCTACTGAGTGTTAGCCAGTTGATGGCGAAAGGCATCCACTTGGAAGCCGACAGCACCAACCCAGGAGTTTAAGTTATACCACGGGAAGGGCGGCCTTTACATCGGAAGGCGGTGTTGAAGAACAACGTCTTCGTCCTCGATTTCGTCCCCCCTGGGCACTACAGACAGCGACGCCATCGTCAACTTCGCCGATTGGACACATCCCCCGGATCTCGATCCCGACTTCAGCCCAGGAAGCTTCTGGTACTCGCACACCATCCCTGAAGCAGAACGAACACGAGCGTTAGCGACGATTCAACAAACGGCAGCAGCAGAGACAACATCGGCAGCAGCAGAGACAACATCGGCAGCAGCAGAGACAACATCGACAGCATCAGAGACAACACCGGCAGGCGACAGAAACATCATCGGCAGCAGCAGGACCAACGATACCAGTCATCGTCGACGAAGCACCACCAACACCCGCACAGCAGCTGAACCCGTCTCAACGAGAAGTCCACAGAAGCGCCAATGTCGTCGCCAGCTTCTTACTCCAACTCCGACGCGTATCAACGCTCACCCGGACATCGCGCTCCTGAAGACATCTGGCACACGCACGCACAGGACATCCAAGCAACACAGTATTAAATAACACAATACGAGCAGAGTCCTCGACAAAGATTCGCTACTACTACACGATGGCAGAGAACCTCACGAGCACGAGGAACTTGCCTCATCTGCCCGAAGCCGACTTACCCCATCGACCGTTTTCTTCTCACACACAACCCGAGCGCACCTGCATACGCACCACTCGAGAAAGTGTACAGCGACATCCTCTTCAATCGAGAACCAGGACAAGTTACCTACAATTACACGATAACCTTCATCGACGCCGCCACTCGATACGTCTGGCATCGAAACCTACCCGCCGCGACATGGCACTCGCAGCGTTCGCCGCTTGGCTACCGGTAGCAGAGAGAGAATCAGGAACACAGCTGAAAAGCTTCCAGTCGACGGAGGAGAATACACCTCTCAGCGCTTCAAGCAGTACCTGGCGGAAAGGGGAATCAAGCAACTCCTCTCCCTTCCCTACGCCCATCAGCAGCAAGGTGTTGCAGAAAGAATGAACAGGACTCTACAGAACAGCATGCGCAAACTGCTACGTGGCATGCGGCTACCCAACCACTAGTGGCCTGCAGCAATGGACCATGCTGTCATGCTACACAACTTGCTGTCTCTGTCGTCATTTTCACTCCGAACAACGCATCACCGCATCTGCTGTGCACAGGAAAGCTGGGCAGCACAAGAATGTTACAAGTTTTCGGATGCATGGTACAGTACCGACCCCCAGAAGCACGAGCGGGAAGATTTTCACAACGGGCACAGTGGAGACTACACCTCGGCATCGAAAAGAATTACAACGCGTGGAAATCTTCGACGTCCACACAAAGGAAACAGTAGCAGCACGTGATGTGATCTTCTACGAGCGACTCACCCTTCAGAGGTACCTCGCCAACTTGCACGAGAATCAGGATCCCACAGGTGGCTTTCGTGGTGACCGAGCCTTCGCCTCAGCAGCGGACGAAGCAGACTGGGATGAACAGAACGTCGACAACGCATCGAAGAAGCCGGACCTCTCCCGTACTGCTCCTCGCACGTGCCCACTGGACCACAATCCTCGCGACGTGTCAACGCCGAATGTCTTCTATCACTTTGCCGACAACGGTTACGTAACACTGCGACAGTCAACACAAAGAAGACAGAAGGATAGGGCTTTTTCATACCCGACCCAGAGCGGGAGAACGAAGCAGCTTATGCTGAGGATCCAACACTCCCCCGATACTCACAGACTGGACTGCAAATCCTTGGCCTCGTCACCGCAGTCACGGCAACGCACTTCCTAAAGAGACTGCGACAGTTGAGCAGGCTCTGGGGGGGAACACAGAGAGAATGGCGTGAAGCCATGGGCAAGAATTAAAGGCATTGGAGGAACGCA